AGATAGATAGATAGATAGATAGATAGAAAGACAATTTATTATAAAAGCATGTAGCTTACACATTTACCCAAATTATCATACGCCTGTTTAACAGAAGTTAATTTGGGTGGGTTTCTCCATCCCCAATGTCACTTCTCTGACGAGAACGCTGCTCTCCTCGGCTGTGAACCGCTCCTGGCGCGCGCCTGGCAAATCCGCCGTTATAATAGGAATCCGCTTTAGAACAAGCGCACCTGCTCTTAAAGGGAATGTGAGATGACGCTCTGATTGGTTTATTTCACGTTACGCCCAAACCACACCTATGAATAATGAAGCTACTTCAGGCCAACCCCTTTTAGATTTGCGCCAGGCGCAAGAGGCATTTATCCCGCCGGGAAAATAGCAACAGCGCCGGGATCCGCCCACAAAGTTACTTGCGCTTTACGCTTTGACACTTGCGTTTCAGATCGTTAAAATAGGGCCCTTTGATTCTCTCATCTAAGCAGCAGTTTTCATTTTTGCAAATCATACATTATTACGATAGATAGATAGATAGATAGATAGATAGATAGATAGATAGATAGATAGATAGATAGATAGATAGATAGATAGATAGATAGATAGATAGATAGATAGATAGATAGATAGATAGATAGATAGATAGATAGATAGATAGATAGATAGATAGATAGATCGATAGATAGATAGACAATTTATTATAAAAGCATACATGTAGCTTACACATTTACCCAAATTATCATACGCCTGTTTAACAGAAGTTAATTTGGGTGGGTTTCTCCATCCTCAATGTCACTTCTCTGTGTTTTACGGCCCTGACGAGAACGTTGCTCTCCTCGGCTGTGAACCGCTCCTGGCGCGCGCCTGGCAAATCCGCCGTTATAATAGGAATCCGCTTTAGAACAAGCGCGCCTGCTCTTAAAGGGAATGTGAGATGACGCTCTGATTGGTTTATTTCACGTTACGCCCAAACCACACCTATGAATAATGAAGCTACTTCAGACCAACCCCTTTTAGATTTGCGCCAGGCGCAAAAGGCATTTATCCCGCCGGGAAAATAGCAACAGCGCCGGGATCCGCCCACAAAGTTACTTGCGCTTTGCGCTTTGACACTTGCGTTTCAGATCGTTAAAATAGGGCCCATAATGTTGTCACATTTTCCTGGTTAAACATTACATTACACCAAAAAAAAAACCTTTTTGTATTTTTACATTAACAATGTTTTTAATGTTCTATTTATTAAAACCTAAGTATAAATCTCATCAAATCAGCATTTTAAGCATTTTTACATTTATTCCACCCGCCCCCCGTCCCCGCCCCCACAGTCATCATGTTTTCAGGCCATTTCAAGCTTGATTTTGACGTGACAAAGCAGTGATATCTAAGTGGGTGAGTTTGCTTACTTACTTTTTAATTAGTCTTTCCATTAACACCATCAATTTGTTGTAACGCACGAGCCAATCATTTCTAACCATAACCGATCATAGTGCGATGGAGGCATTGCCTCCTCTCACATGACTTTTCCCCAATCATTCTCAATTACCCCCCCTCTAAACCCACTGCACGCTTTAGGGGGGTCTGTTCAAAAGTCAATGGGAACTCTGTAATGTAAAATTGTATTGTAATTGTAATTGAAAACTAGCTTTCTTAAAAAATATTCATTTTTTCTTTAATAAAAATCGAATAACTTTCTCCACTCGTTATGAGATTTTTTTTAAAGACCGCATGGCAGAGAAAAGTAATTTAACCAATAATAGCATAGCCAATATGTATATCAGCATAATATCACTCAAATGAAATCTGGATGGATAAAATAGTCCCACTCAGAAATATGGCACATCCGGAAAGCTAAATGTGTTGCAAATGCTTTTTCAGTTGTTTTTAATAGTATTCTTGAAGGACTTTACTTAGTATCAATATTTGATTGATTTATTGATTGATTAATTATATATATTTTTAATATTAGTTTATGTTGTTGGTTTAGTGTAAAGGGGAAAGCGTCTGACTTGAGGGGTTGTACATTTACAACTGTTTTGCTGTATACTGCCTGTGGTCCAAATGTGCTACCAATGTGTTTTACTTGATCTCAGTCTGGTGCCAGTTTATGGGCGAGCCTGTCTCACTTTTTCTTCAATTAAAGTGGCCCAGATGTGGCTCTCAATTTGCTCTGCACCAATGAAATTACAGTACACCCTTCAAAACATCCACATCCACAGCATGTCGGAAAAGAAAATGTGCACATTTATAGGCCCTAATATGTTTTGCTTGCAGAGCCATTTATAGTGGCTTCTGCTGTGTTACTGTAGCTTTTGGAGCAGCACATGTTGCTGTACACATCAAATGCTGATGAATAACTGCAACACTTCCACTGCACTTCTTCTCTTGCCAAAGACATGTCAGACCGAAAGATTAGCTTTTTTCAAGGATGAAATATGCCTTTAGGTTTGTTAGGTGCTGACACTCTTTAGATTTCCAGAACATCCCGCGATTGCATGCGGTTGCACTGTAATTGTATGTTCCTTGGCTTATAAAGTGCTGTATCCCTATAGAAATTGTAGGATACACTGAATAAAACAAATCTACCGGTAAAGCCCATTGTTCACGAGTCTCATTCTGTGCCAGCAGGGCAACGCAGAGTCTTGACAGGCTTCGCTTTAAGGATGTTAATCTGTTCATGGCAGACAGAGGAATGAGCTACTCTTCATCGGTAGCTCCTTGGGCTAGACAGCCTGCCAGGCTTCAGTCAGACGCTCCACCTCTCCACAGACCCGATAGATTATCCTGTTGTCACTTAAGCAGGGTGGCAGCTTCCAAGAGCACTTCCTGTCTCTTCCTCGCTTCCTCCACTGCTACGCCACTCCTGCCCTTAGGTGCCTAGTCCAGGCCGAGGGGGAAGAAGACCAATCAGACTCTGCGATCTTCCATCTCTTCCCTGTAGCTCCCTCATCATGGGCCGCACATGGCAAGAGCAGGCAGGTCCACTTACTAAACTGCTGGAGGTGAGACATTTAAATTTCCGTCAGGTCCTCAGCACTCAAAGCGAAAGGATTTGAATATCTTTATTTGTCTGTACCCGTATTGCATCGGTCCTCAGGTGACTGATTTGGCTTCCTTTTGGAAGGCTGCAGGCTCTCGAAACGATCCCGACCACGAAAATACTGGTGCCGGAAAGGATTAATCCTTGTTTTCCCATCACTAAGGGTTAATTTGAGTACCACTGAGATATTTACCTCAGCCTGAATTGTTTGTGTCTATGTTGAGCGAAAACGGTTTTGTAGTACCTGATTTGCCATTGTGGGTGTATTGTTGTGATTGATGGTTGTTATCTTTGGCCTCAATAAGGTTATATCTGTTTCATATCTGTCTCTCCACTGTGTGTGCCCATTCATATAAAACCGACCTGCTCCATTTGCATGCACACCTATGGTGGCAAAGAGCTTGAAATAGAAACCACCGGCATGCAAACCGCATAGCCTGGAGAACTCACAATATTCAGAGATGGGAGATGTCTCCTTTTGACAACTGCTGAAACCGACCTGCGACTTGAGGTGAACGGCAACAGTTTAAAAAAAAAATCTGTTTTAGCAGACTGCAGCCCTGGAGGATTGTAAAAATGTTTTGAGTCATCTCAAAAACTGAAAGACATTTTATATATATATATATAGGGGAAAGACAGAAGAAAAATCACAAACCATGCTGAGTGACATGAAATAGCACAGCTTCATCTTGTACAGTGAAACCTAATCCGTTGAGTTTTGACAGACAAAACTCGACTTATCTCTAAAGATGTTCAAACTGTGTTTTGTCCCGTGCTGAGCGCTATAGGAAGCCTGAGACAGTGTGAAATGTGGGATTGCTAAGCCTTAATGTTTGTGCTTGTGTTGTTGATATGGGTGGATGCTGGGGCATCTGTCAGTAGTGAGGGTGGCCCCTCTTCCTCTTGGTAATTGGATCTAAAAGTTTATAGCCGGGGATGACAGACGAGTGCATTGTTGAGAGAATGGGAGGTCTGAACTTGTGAATAGGCCATCCTCATCTCCAACCAGTCTCTGACATGTCATGTAGTGGAACTCATTACCACACAGAAATGTTCATTAGATATACTAGACTGAATAAATCTGTTAATAACATAATTCTTTGCTCAAAAATGCATAAAAATACAACTCTTACATACTGTACAATGACTTGAATACAATGACCATACAACAATGGCCCTGTATACTCCTGGTAATAAGATGTGTTTTGGTCGATCGGATCACAAGTGGACGATGCTAAATACAGGTGTAAACGGGGTCTAAAACATTTTGAGCTTGTCCACTTTTGACTTCCAGAGGTAGTCGAAATCACATTCGTTCGAACAGCACATGAACAAAAAAAAAAAATACATTTACCTGCCCATAGACCCTCCCCTCGAAGAAATCAGGACAGAAGTTGTTGAAAGTGGACAAAAAAATAAGATGGATTAAAACACCAGGTGTAAACTGGTACGTGTCTCCCTCTTCCACTTGTGATCCGATCAACCAAAACACATCGTAATACCAGGTGTAAACAGGTAATGTTTTTAATTTCTGAATTAAAATGTATTTAGATATTTTTTGGAGTGGGATAAAATAAAAAACATCAGGGTGGTATAACTTTCCTGATTTTATAAATAAAAGTTTACAATAAGTTTAAAACCTTTTTAAGCATATTATTTGCATAATCCTTTATTATATATTTTTTTTAATATTGTCCATTAACTTTTTGCATTAAAAAAAATAATTGTCCTTAGTGTAGACCCTCTAATATGTAATTGACCCACCTATTCATATATCTTTTGTATAACTTTCTATTCATCACAAATCAGTGATTCATCTAATAAGAACTGAGATCAGATCATTTTTCACTTACAGTATATTACAGCTTTACTCATAGCATTGCAAGGTCTAGATTGCCAGCTATGGTCCATATGTGCTGTGGCTTCCAGATATTAACTCTTCCTCGTCTGTTTTGTTTGTGTGCAGATTGTGGTGGACCACATGAGGAGGAAATGCAAATGCCACGGTACATCAGGAAGCTGTCAGCTGAAGACCTGCTGGCAGGTGACTCCAGAGTTCAGAACGGTGGGCTCGCTGCTGAAAGAACGCTTCAACATCGCCACGCTAATCAAAGCCCACAACAGAAACACAGGACAGGTGGAGCATGCCCACCCCACCCACCGACGAAGAGCCAACGTGAACGATCTGGTCTACTTTGAGAAGTCTCCGGATTTCTGCGAGAGGGACCTCGGTTCGGACTCTGCTGGGACGCAGGGCCGGATCTGTAACAAGACCAGCCAGGGCATGGACAACTGTGAGAGCCTGTGCTGTGGACGGGGACACAACATCTTACAGCAGACTCGCAGCGAACGCTGCAATTGCAAGTTCCACTGGTGCTGTTACGTGGTGTGCGAGGAGTGCAGGATAACAGAGTGGGTCAGCGTCTGCAAATGAAATGAGCGATCATCTACTAAATGTACAAAAACAGACATTAAACATAGGGAAAGACTAAGAAATCCCTCCCTTTTGCAATGGACTGCCATTTCCATGATTCCAATGGAAAGCACAAAAAGCGGACTGAGATGAATTGAGTGCTATAGAAGTGTGCACATGTTTGCACACTGCATGGGTCCAAGCACAAGATTTCAGACGGATTTTTTGGACTTGCACTGCATATAATTTCAGAAAGTATTTTTAATTTAAATAAATTACGAATATGAATATATTGTGGAGTATATTGCCAACAAAGCACTCACCGACACGGCGTTGTGTTCGTTTTAGTTTGGTTTTTTAAAGAAATCAGTGGCGCGCAGTCCTGTAAGCAGCCGCATGGGATTCCGGTACTTAAAGAAGAGAAATATATATACACACACTCCTTAGCAAAAAGTGGTATTTTAGTGGTCTTTTAATGGTCTTAATCATTTTAATCACAAATCACTGGTCAGGAAATGATCACATAATTTCAGCAATAATTGCACAAATACTTTAGTAGATAAAGTAAATTAGCACAGACTAGCCTTTCCCAACTTGCAGACAACTTTTTACAGGAAGAAGAGTCAGTGTTGTTCCACTCAATGTTAATGGCTTCAAACAGTTCATGAGTAGCTGGACAATGTATCCCAGTTCATTTGAGTTTAATGTGAGACCAAGTATTCACTATAGAGTTCAAATCTGGACTCTGACCAGGCCAAAAAACACGAGCCTGTTGGACTTGTTCTCAAGACACTTCTTTGCAGTTCCCTTTCGAAGGGAACTCAACAATACGTCATCGACGTTATTTGGAACGCCTCAGGCGTGACAGGTGTCTGAAATCACTATCAAATCACGTCAATCACATTGACCGGCGACAGCCCGTGAATCATTAGCGTGAATGATTAACGTGCGACCTGGAAGTATATAAGGGCGCCTTGCAAACATGACAAATCATCTTTTCGTCTTCAGGGACTGTTTTGTCTGTAACTGCTTTGAAAATCAGGTAATTATGAAATGCTTTCAGAAGTGTGCAGACCCATGCCCAAGATATTTGTAGCCGGGTGACACACGTGAACTGTGCATTTTTTGTCTGGGAAGGAAGACGCGCACAGGCGGTTCTCGAGGGAACTGCCTGTACAAATTGTGATCGCGCCTGTCCCTCTTCTCGAGAGAAGAGGGTTCAGCGTCTGGATGTCACAGATGAAGCTCGCCGATCGCCTTGAGAGGGGTGTAATCCTCTCAGACGATGCGGCGGCTGATGAGAAGCTGCAATTGGATGAAGTTTTTCAAAAAAGAAAAAAAGGGAAAACTTAGTCCGGCAGCAAGCGCTCTCCCGGACAAACAGGAGATGGCTGATGAGGGTGGAAATAATAAAATATTTTCCTGTATCTTCTCAGCCACCCTGCCCCGTGTATGCTGAGCTGGTTGGTATTATAGAACGCGCCGCGGGCAGGCTGCAGCTGCCGTGGCTGCTCGTTGGGGGAGAAATCGCTCGCGATGAGAGCGGTTTTTCCCCGGTCATAGAACCACCAGCTCAGGTGAGCCTTTCATTTCTTCCCGATCTCATACTGAGATCGAGAGGACATGGAAGAACCCATACTCTGCCTGTATCCACCAACATCAGCGGGCTAGCTCGCTGATGTTGAGAGGATAGGAGAGCATGGGTATGCGTGGATGGGAAGAGGGATCTGAGGGAGGTGATCCGGCACAAACGCACGTTGCGTTGGTCTTGGATCATCTTCCCTGAGGGCGTGATTATATCTTTGCCTTTTCCTCTCTTCCCCGACTCCCCAGGCGCTTCTTACATCAGGCCTGAGGCTGGGCTCATGGTTAGAACAATGTTCTGATGGCCCGCCTCGGCTTGGTTAGTGAGAGTGCCTCTTTCAGGTATGTAAAGGTGGTAGACCCCATGTTCATGAAGAACTGTCTGGTGAGTCTTCACTTTGCACGCCGCAGGTGAGCTGCTGGTCTTTTCAAGGAGTATATTTTTTGTGATAAAAAATAACATTTCTCTTTACAGACCTCGTTCCCTGTATAAAGAGTTATGGGGTCATGTCAAGGTAATAAAGGTAAGGTAACTTTATTGGATTATTAGGGCCCTGAAGTTCCCCGTTAGGTGGCCAGAATGATAACTATGTTAGCCTTCGGGCTACTAGCCACCTCAGGGTAGAGTAGTTGGTCTCTCTCTGATAGAATGTTTACTTAGAGTGTTGACTGACGCTAGAGCTTCAGATAGATCTTATGTCCGGCCCATGGGACCGTTTTGACTTTTCTGAGTATTTCGCCCCTTGAGCTCTGTTGAGTTTTCATTAGGTTGAGCGTTCTGCAGCCCTTTGTATGGAATAATACAGACTATATTCTTTAGTAGGCTGTGGCTCCTCTGAGCCCTCAGATAGATCTATGCTTACAGGTTGGCCCTCACCAGGGCCGCCTCTGTAGCTGGCCTAGGCTGTGCCAGGGATATTAGAGGCGTTCTGCTAAAATTAGCATTTCTTCCTCTGACCCTTCACTTTGTGAATGTAGGTTTTGGCATCCCTGTATAATCAGCCTCCTCCCATGGGAGTCGTTAGGCCAAGGCCTGCCCCCTTCTCTGCATTCTGGGGTGACTAGAGTAATGCAGCGTGGTGCAGAGGATGGTTTATAAGGACATGGTAGGCCTCAGTTAGGCCTCCGTGGTATATAAGTCCTTTTGAGCAGGGTTAGGCCGTCTTTCGCTTCACTAAGAAGACTGAGTCTCCTGCCCGACCCTGCCGTGCAGAACTGGCCTACGGATTTAGGCCGCCAGTGTAGGCTTCACTAATACCTTGCTGAGCTACTGCTCAGGCTGTGGGTTGTAGGTGGTTGGCTTTCATTCAAGCCCCACTCCCCTAGGTTGGGCACAGATGTTTTTCTGTTACCCCTAGAGCCGCTGGCAGGCCCGCACCCTGGTAAACTCAGGGTGAGGTGTGAGTATTCCCCTGTGATTCAGGGTAGGTCTGAGCACTTCACTCCCAGTTCTGTTTTTATCCTACCTCGCACTACTATGGCTCGGGTCGAGTATGAAGTAAGCCTTCACTTCTTCTTTGGTCGAAGTTCGCTCCCCTGAAGCCAGAGCATTGCCCTGTGCTGACGCCCATGCATAGATGGTAGGCCCCTGACTAACTGGGGCCTCCACTGAGGCAGAGTGACGTATGTTGTACTCCCCTTGTTCTAAGGGTATTAGCTCTCTATGCTGAGTACTCTGCCATGGGCAATGTGATTAGGCACCAGGATGCTGTAGGCGCTGTGTAAACAGCTTATCTGCCAACGAAGGCTGCGCCATCAGGTAGTAGGCCTCAGCAGGCCTCCTTGTATGAGCAGCCCCCAAGAGGGCGCTATAGGCTACTTCTCGAGAGAATTGGTTGGCCTTGGTGGTTCGGGCAGTTGACTCACCAGTGGGTAGTAGGCCTTAAACAGGCCTCCTCGGAGGTGAGTCCCAACATTGTGGGTCATGCTTTAATGCCGCTACAGGTAGCTAGCCGTACTAGGCCTCCTGTGGGTGGGCCCAATAGTTACATTGGTGTAGTATGGTTCCCAACAGTGTTCCTTTGTAGCAGAATTGACTTGCTATCAGCTAGTAGGCCCAACCGGGCCTCCCTGATAGGCGAGTCCCCAGCTGGCTGGCCTTAGCAGGCCGCCTTGGAACTGTCACCCGGACTCAGCTACCAGTTGCTATCAGGTAGTAGGCCCCTCAGGCCTCCCTGAGGGTGAATTCCCACTTAAGATGGTTATCAGGTAGTAGGCCTCACCAGGCCTCCCTGAAGAGACAAGCCCAAGGACGGGCAACTGGACAGCTAGCCTGGCTTACTATCGGGTAGCAGTAAAAAGCTCCCAGATATTATGGCTGTCAGGTAGTAGGCCTCACCAGGCCTCCCTGAAAACGAGTTCCCACATGCTGTGATTATCAGGTAGCAGGCCTCACCAGGCCTCCCTGAGGGTGAGTTCCCCACGTACTATCGCTATCAGGTAGTAGGCCTCTCTAGGCCTCCCTGTAGGTGACCACATACTGTTGCTATCAGGTAGTAGGCCTTACCAGGCCTCCCTGAAGGTGAGTTCCCACAGACTGTAGCAATCAGGTAGTAGGCCTCACCAGGCCTCTCTGAAGGTGAGCTCCCCACATACTGTGGTTGTAAGGTAGCAGGCCTCACCAGGCCTCCCTGAAGGTGAGCTCCCCACATACTGTGGTTGTAAGGTAGCAGGCCTCACCGGGCCTCCCTGAAGGTGAGCTCCCCACATACTGTGGTTGTAGGGTAGCAGGCCTCACCGGGCCTCCCTGAAGGTGAGTTCCCACATACTGTGGTTATCAGGTAGTAGGCCTCTCTAGGCCTCCCTGTGGGTGACCACATACTGTTGCTATCAGGTAGTAGGCCTTACCAGGCCTCCCTGAAGGTGAGTTCCCACAGACTGTAGCAATCAGGTAGTAGGCCTCACCAGGCCTCCCTGAAGGTGAGCTCCCCACATACTGTGGTTGTAAGGTAGCAGGCCTCACCAGGCCTCCCTGAAGGTGAGCTCCCCACATACTGTGGTTGTAAGGTAGCAGGCCTCACCAGGCCTCCCTGAAGGTGAGCTCCCCACATACTGTGGTTATCAGGTAGTAGGCCTCTCCGGGCCTCCCTGTAATGTTTCTCTAATGGTGCTGGGTTTATGAAGCTAGTGGCCTCTTGCTATCAGTTTCAGCTAGCCTTAATAGGCAGCTGCTGAGGGCGAGCTTGCGCCCTGGCTCGCTAAAGTGTTTATTCTCTGCTATTTGTTCCCTCCTGGAACCTTTCCTGCCTACAGCCTGGTTTGCCTACCAGGCAGACCTTGTGCTCCCCTCACTGAGGGTCTCTATGAGCATGCGGCTTCCTGAGTCTGGTCAGACGGTCGTAGGCCTCTTGTGAGGCCTCCCGGTTAGATCAGCCATTAGGCCTTCACAGGCCTCCTCAGTGTTTGCAAACACTGGGTTGATCCATGGATCGAGTAGAGAAACTCCCCTCGCTAGCAAGGGTCATAAAGCACTATGCTGAGTCATACTCTCCGGGATATCCCGTCTCTGAGATCCGGGCCGAGTGGTTCACTGCCAGCGTCGCAGTCCCTCGGGTTGGAGGCCTTACTTAAGGCTTTTTTCCAGAGGCTCTGTCTTCGGACAGACAGGAAGTGGCCAGACTAAGTGTCTATGTATCTGACGCCAGGTCAGGCCGTCCTGGTGGCATATCGGGGTGAGTACGTTCCCCTGAATAGTGACTGGCTGGGGTTCCTTCGGGTTCCCTAGCCACATTCCCTAGAAGGGGCCCCTTCTAATTGAAGTTGTGGTCCTAGGCCTTTGAGCAGGCCCAGGTAGGCTTT